ACCCCACCTTTAAAATCTTCAAGTGTGTGGCCAGCCATAGGAGTACATTTAAATATTCAAATTATGTTATCCAAACATGAACAATTTGAAAATGTACTTATAAACTCAGATCAAGATTTCTTGTGTTTATCTGAAATGTGGTTAATTAAAACTTTTCCTAGTGCTGCTTTAGCAATGCCTGGGTATAAATATTTCAGTTTCAGACAAGCTAGGAAAAATGCTAAAACTTGCTAAAATTCCCGGTGGGCCGGTCTGTTTTTTGGCCACGAGGGCTGGTACTGTCATGCCACTGCTATGGGGTATGGATGCCCGTATTTAAGGCATCAAAGAAGCGTATCGTATGAAAGTTATAACACATTTTGTCCCGTATTCGCAGGCATATGCCATATGACCACCAGACCATATGAATAACTATCATTATTTTTGCGCAAATTATTGTTTTATTTGTGAACGTAGCGGAATCCTCTGGCTGCTCCTGTTTCACAGTCAGCAGTACTCGCCCGCGATTTGATTTTGGCAAATCAGTTTGGGCGAATGCAATTTATTGATCATCAGCCCAAAATTTAGCAAGGCAGGAAAACATTTCATCTACCTGAGGGGAGACGTCTTTCACTATTGTAAGTTAAGGCTGTTAAATAGAGAGGAAAATACATTTAAAAAAAATGTAGGCCTACTTCTAGCGCATTCTTAAACTTGGACCTAATTTTATTGAAGTAGAAATCCAAGCACCAGAAGCAGCCCACACTCAGCCCACAAGTTTTCGTTAATAGAAAAATATGCATTTTCATTCATTAGGCTATATGGTTGCAATAATAGCCATTTTAGTTAAAAAAATTTAAGTGCATAGACGTTCAGTTGTTATGCTTTCAAATTTCTTGCCATTTGTATGGATGTCATTTCACAGTATTTTCACCTCCTAAATTACTACATTAATTGTGCAGTCACGATTTTATAATGGTACAATTTACTCAGGCCAATGACTTTTTTTTTTTGTATGGCATTAAAATTATTTTTAGAATAGGTTAAGTAAAACAAATCTGATTATTTCTGAGAACTTTTTATCTGCAGGCAGACTTTATGGTACAGTAGGTCTACAAATATTTTGTTGGAGATATGCGAGCAAAAAATAATAGATTAAAAAATGTATAATAGAAAGCGCAAATGCGGCGCTGAAAAGGCCAGTAAAATAATAATAATAAAAAAAACAAAGCTGTAGAAAAATATAATGAATTACAAGTCTGTAGAGAACAGAGCGCTATTGCAGACTTATATACTGAAGTTTTAATTACATTATTGTAATAGTAGCTATAGTCAGTCGTGAACTAAAGTGGGAGGCATGAAACTCCAGGGCTGAAAATGACTCCCACTCCGGCCCTGGCCTGGAGTCAAAATCACACATCAATTGTTCAGATAATTTGTTTCAAGACATTTGACATGTTTCCATCCTGAAATCTCGTGGGTGTTGAACTAGCTAATTTTTTACGCCGTTGCAAATTCCAAAACGTCATTTTAGAGCTAATAACAGAGGCTTGAGCCATTGATATGCAGGCTAATGCAGTTATTAATGCAGTCTAACGCAGTTATTAGAGAGAGAGAGCGAAAGAGAAAGATTAAGTGCATGTGAATACTTGCGTCAGTGCATCTCTCAGCAGTATTCAGCAGCAGCGTCTACTAGCGAATCTTTAAGTTGAACTGCTTCAAGAACCTTGCTACTGAGAAATGTCATGCAGCTTTTCATCTGCGAAACTCTTTATTGATAAATTTGCAGGGCAGCCGCAGCGCTGATGACAAGTTTCATAGTCAATGTCAAGATGACATTTTGACAAGCAAAATGTGTGTGCTTGTGTGAAAAAGAACGGGAGAAAGAAAGTGTGATTTCCGTAGGCCTACATAAAAAAAGGTTGAAGACATGGAAATAGTTTGTCATTTTTACCCTATTGTTTGTTATATTTATTTTCTCAATGTCTTCTGGGGTTTTGGTTCTTTTACTGTTGTAGATATCCCATAGTATAACAAAAATATTATATATATCTTCATTGTGTTTGGGCCCCCCCTGGATGAGCAAGCATAGGCACATGACTAGAATGTATGTGTAAAGCCGGCCCTGCCTGTAAGTGCATTTGAAGAAGAGCATGGACAAATTGATTGGGCATCGCTTAAATCTACTGAAAATCTGGAAACTGCACATACAATTTTTATAGAGATAAAAAACGTAAGGAATGAATACACAAAATTTGTTGAAAATAGGCATAGAAAGAATCATTTATCATGGATTAATGAAGGTATGGATTAAAAAACTTGCTAGAGGATCAACTTCTTTTTAACAGTTTAAGAAACAAGGTTAAGACAATATGGCAGGCTAAGGCACAATTTTTTTTATTTTTTTTTTAAACGAGACTAAAGGTAGTAGTAAAAAAGTATAAAGGTATAAAAAGACTCTTTATCATGTAATAAATGTTTAAAATTAGATTTTTAAGGAAGAATAATAATTGATAAACCTGAAGAAATTGTAGATATATTTAACAATTTCTTTGTTGACTCAGTTCAAAGTTTGACTGATAAGTTTGAAATAAGATATAAATAAATACATTTTGTTAATTCAGTAAAACCAGTTTCTGAGCTTACAATTCAGAATATTATAAAATATTTCAAAAATTCCAATGCTAAAGATATATATGGTTTAGATAGGCCTATAAAAAACAATAGTGATATTTTTTAGTACCAATTACTTATTTTGTTAATTTATCAACAATCTACATTCCCAAATTGTTGGAAAACTGGGTTGGCTACCCCAGTTTTCAAGGCAGGTGATCCAACTAATGTATTAAATTATAGGCCGATGTCAATTTGATCAGTAGTGTCTAAAATAGAAAAAGTAGTAACTGAGCAAATTGTGAATTTTATTTTGATATATGAAATAACTTATTGTGTCCTTTGCAATTTGGTTTCTGTAAACAGCATTCAACAGAAACTGCTGTATGCTATTTTATTGAGCAAGTCAAAATTAGACAAGGCTGGGGTTGTGGGTGCTGTGTTCCTTGATTTGCAAAAGGTATTTGACACACTAAATCATAATATCCTATGATCTAAATCAGGGATGGCCAACATCGGTCCTGGAGAGCCACAGTCCTGCAGAGTTTTGCTCCAAACTTGCTAAAAACTCACCTGCCTGTAGGTTTCTAGTAACCCTTATACCTTGATTACCTTGTTCACATGTGTTTGATTAGGGTTGGAGCTGAAGTCTGCAGGACTGTGGCTCTCCAGGACTGACCCTGGCCACCCCGATCTAAATTATTACATTTGAACTTTTCAGAAGATACAATGAAATGGTTTGAGTCTTTTCTTACATCAAGAATACAGTGCACCTGGATTAAAACACATATCTTCTTTAAGAGACTGTTCCACAGGGGTTAACCCTATAAGGTTTTCAGATTGTACTTGAATGACTTTTCAGATCTTTGTCCTGATGTACATATTCAAATGTACGCAGATGACACTGTGATTTATGTATATGTCAAAACAAAAGAACAGGTGGCACAAAAATTATCTAATGCAATGTCAAACATTTTAGACTGGCTTACTCAGTGTTGTGTAACATAAAATGGTTGGAAAAGTGCCTGTATGTATTTTAAAACCAAAAAGAAGGTGGCGGTCCAACCAGATATAATAGTTAATGGTGGAAAATTACAAATTGTTCCGGATTTAAAATATTTTGGGAGTTATTTTAGACTCTGATTTAACTTTTAAAAAGCACGTTCAAAAATAGTTTGTGCAGTGACACCTCAACTTAGAATTGTTTTTATTTACGTATATGGAGTCAACTTTCAATAGAAGCTGCAAGAGTCTTTTTGCATTCTTTGATCTTTTCTCATTTTTCCGATTGTATTCATGGTCACAAGCAGGAAAATCTCTTAGACCTTTATACACCTTATATAAACGTGCTTTAAAAGTATTTGACAAGAAACCTAACAGATATCATCATTGTTTTATAATTAAAAAGTGACTTTTTTTTTAACTTTTGACAATTTTATGTTTTACAATTGTTGTTTAATGTACAAAATTGTTTATAACCTTGCACCCTCACCCTTGAAAGAATTAGTTTCTTCACGCACTGAAAATATAAGACAAACAAGAGCTTTGTCAAGAGGTGATTGTGAAGCGCATTTTAGAGTTACTGATTTACTGTTTAAGTTACATTTGAAAATATGGTTAAAGATGAGTCAGGTTTGTGATCATTGAATATTCCTGTGTTTTGAAATGATTACATAACTTTGGGAGTCTCATTTTTAAAAAAAATCCATTATAGGGTGTTTCAGATGAAATTTAGCTCTGTAGCTAATTCTGGGGCAGAACCATCAAATATTTCCTTTGCACAAAAAGGTTCTTTGTAGAAAAATATATATATATATATATATATATATATATATATATATATAGAACATCTTCAAAAGATGCTAATAAAAAAAATGATAATTTCAGAACCTGTCAGTGAAGGTGTAAGCAAAAAAAAAAAAAGTTCTTCTGCAGCATGACTGTAAAAACCTCTTTTTGATTTTCCAGGCACCCCTATTGTTAAAACTATGTAAATATACTGGGAACTCAGTATGAGGAAGAGATGGACTATGCTATTTGCATGTTCAAATAATAAACTAGAAATTCTCAATTGTCTTAGCTTGTTTTCTGGAAGGAAAAGAGTTGAGACAACTATCTATTTACAAATGGTAAATATTGATTTAAACAAAAACACTCTATCACTGAGACACAGGAAAACCACTGGACCAAAGTAAACAAACTCTATTAAGACAAGAACAGACAAAGAACTTAGCCAGACTGGGGGTATAAAGCAAATGAGGAAAGAGACACATTGCAAATGAGGAAACTGAGTCAGACTGGAGTTTCAATACACAGGGCAAATGAGGAAAGAGAACGGTGGGGCTAATTAGTTAACAAACGAGTAACAATAGTAATAGTAATAATATAATAGTAAAAATGAGAACCTGCTTATAAACAAAGAAAACAAAAAGGAACTAAACAGAGTGGATGTGACAACTTGACACTTTCTTGTCAAACTGGGTGACTGGGAGGCAGTTTTATGTTCAGCTGCATTAGTGACTGAAAACTGGTATGCATCCATATTTTAGTTTCCAGAATTGTTTTAATTTTTATTACCTTAAATGTAAATAACCTACTGGATAATATTTCAATATTATTAAACATAATTAAATATGTTTTTTACAAAAAAAGTTATGTGTCCCAAGTATTTTGCTTGTAAATTTTAAAGTGATTAGAAAAACTCCATAAATCATCAATCAAATTTGATCATTATGATTTTTTCAGTGAAGATGCGATTACGCACAATTATTTTGCTGAGTCTGGCTTTGGCTTTTTGCCCAGCATCATCTATGGTAAGTCCGAGAGCTTATGTTATTGTCATTGTAAAAGTGGTAGATAGCTGTTGATTTTTAAATCAATTTTTCTGAATATTGTTTTCATATCTCATGTTCTCAGCCTCCACCAGATACGTCTGGTAAGTACGGCAGCACAGTCACTGAAATAAATCAGTTGTAAAGTTATTGTAATATGTTTAATATGTGTGTAGTGTAAAAGATCCGGTTTGGGCTGCTCATTACTGCCTGATGATATGATTAGCCATTCAAAGTTTTACTTTCAGGATGTTTCACTAAAATTACATTTTTGTCTAGTATTTAATGCACACAATTCTGGTTCTCCCTCTGTCCTTTGTTTTCTTTATTATATTTGTCTCAAAGACATTATTGAGGATCGGAAGGATATTCCAGATATAAACAAAGGTAAAACTGCTGTATTATCACAAAAACTCAAATACATTGCAGTAAGGCAACTAATATCTATTTTTGTTTATAAATCTTTTTTTTTTTTACTCCTGTTTTATTCAAGCATATTCACTGTGAACTGAACTCTCTTGTGGTGTTAGGTTTAAATCTCAGAGAAGGAGACATCATGATGGTGAGTTCCTTTCCAAGACATTCTATAATTACAATATTGGATAATTCAGAAATCAGCATTTATAGTCCTCCCAGGATACTTAAAACAATCTGCTTTAAAGCCTAATCAAAGGAGCGCCATTCTTGGGAATCAGTACCGGTGGAATATTCCCATCCCCTATGAGCTGAGTGTGAATCTCAGTAAGAAAACATGGATTTTCATGTCATGTCAACTTTTCATTTAGTATTTAAATTAACTTTCATGTTTTCCATGGCTATAGGTATGAACTATAAAGGAGTCATTTTGAGAGCATTTGAGCAGTTCAGACTGAAATCATGTATTGAGTTTAAGCCCAGAACAGCAGAAGACATTTCTTACATCTCTGTGGAGAGTCGTGACGGGTACAGTATGGTTCCAGTTAGTAATCCAAATATAGACAGATATATATTTTTTTCTGTTTGACAAATATAAACAATAAAGTTATAAAATAAAATAAAAAATGTTAATTTAAAGTTTTTGTTTTTATTGTTTTTAATAAACCACATATGTAGGAACTCCTACCTTGAAGCCCAAAATAGCTCTCTAGGCAAAAGAGTAGCTATTTTAAGGAATCCCATGGAGACAAATAACCTTCCAGATGCTTGACCAGAACCCACACATTCAGAAGCGCATGTCCTCTGAGAAAAGCTTCATGACTGACCCTACTTTGGCTTCTTCCTGTGAGATTCTGATTATTTTTCTCTCATATCATTTTACATGCAGCATTTTAGTTAATTGATGATCAAGGTTATTATTATATGTAGCTTTGAAGGGTCTAAAAGCCATATTTTGTTGTAACAGATGACAGTAATTACTGGGACAATCCTCGAAATAATGGAACTCGAGTTGTCATTGGCAATGAGACCATATATTTGGGTGTATATTTTGGCTATGAATATGCCATAATGAAAGAAGATCTCACTAAAAGAGAGTTTATCAAGGGTGGTGACATCATATTTCTCTTCACCATGCAAGGTAGGTTTTGTGCAGTACCTTCAGAAAGCAATTTGATCTTAAATAACACACTGTATTAGGAGTAAATTGGGCAGAATGAGAATGATGACGAGGATTCAAATTTGCAACTTGCAACTTTCTGAGAACATTTAGAGAACTGTTGTTTACAAATCCAGAATACTTTGTTTCAGATATCTCAGGGCTCCGTCAAAAGAACTCTCTACCCTGCCCTAAAGTGACAGTGAAGAACTTCAAGATTTCATTTGATGCAGCAGTCAAGCAGGGACCGTGTGCTACAAGGTGAATATTGTTTTAACTATTGTTAACACCGTCTACACCAGACAATAAGCTGAAGACCCGTAGTGCCACACGTGACAGCAGTCTCAGACTGAAAGTTAGAGTGGAGATTATAAACTCACTGAGGTTAAGCTCAAAGTACATGATGGTCATACATGTTTTGCAACGGTCTGCGCACTGTCTGTGTACAGCCCAATTTTTGTGTCCACCCAGACATAAGGTGAATGTTGAGACAAAAGTGTCCACTAAGTGATATTGTGCATGTGTCAAACTCGTCCATCCTCTCTCATCCGTGGTTAAGTTTTTGAAAGCTGTGTGGAAGCAGCTGTGTGCAAGATGGAGGAAAATGAGGAAAATGAAGTATAACCAGGCCTTTACAGTTAGTGGTGGGGAGAAGCTTATAGTTGTAGTGAAGTTAGGGTTACTGCTAGGGGCGGGTTAGGTGATCGTCAAATTCTGGTGTGAGACTGCTGGCCTGAAATTACTGTCATAATTAAAGAATATCTCACTAAAAGAAAGTTTATCAAGAGTGATGACATAATACTTCTCTTCAGCATGCAAGGTAGGTTTTGTGAAGTAATTTCAGAACACACTGTATTAAGAGTAAATGGGGCAGAATTAGAATGATGACAAGAATTTAAATTTGTGACTTGCAATTTTCTGAGAACATTTAGGGAACTCCTGTTTACAAATACAGAATATATTGTCATAAATATCTCGGGGCTATGTCAGAAGAATGCTCTACCCTGCCCAAAGTGAAGAATAAAATCAAAGAGAATGCATTATAAGTGTATAATATATACACTTATTATAATAAGTGTATGTGTTATAATATATACAGTGCACAGCATAAATGAGTACACCCCCTCTGAAACGTAACAAATTCAGCCATTACTCTTTGCTTAGAAGACATGTTATGGTTTTTTAGAGATATAATATTCCAGCAAGTCTGCTTGATCAGTTACCAAAGAAGAATGTTAAAATTATTCAAGAAAATACCATTGTCTTATCAAAGTGATAAAATGTTGTGTTGCAAAAAGGAGTACACCCTCCTAAAAGTTACTAAATAAAATAAATAAATAAATAAAAAATTCTGGTGTAAGGTTAAGGCAAGTATTGATCATCAGGTAAGTATGTTGAACCAAAACTGTTAAAGGTAATTTCTTGATAATTAAGTGTCATATGGCCCACTGAATCATACTCAGACTTAACGCTGACAACAATGAAACCACTTGAGTGTCCACTAAGTGATATTGTGCATGTGTCAAACTCGTCCATCCTCTCTCATCCGTGGTTAAGTTTTTGAAAGCTGTGTGGAAGCAGCTGTGTGCAAGATGGAGGAAAATGAGGAAAATGAAGTATAACCAGGCCTTTACAGTTAGTGGTGGGGAGAAGCTTATAGTTGTAGTGAAGTTAGGGTTACTGCTAGGGGCGGGTTAGGTGATCGTCAAATTCTGGTGTGAGACTGCTGGCCTGAAATTACTGTCATAATTAAAGAATATCTCACTAAAAGAAAGTTTATCAAGAGTGATGACATAATACTTCTCTTCAGCATGCAAGGTAGGTTTTGTGAAGTAATTTCAGAACACACTGTATTAAGAGTAAATGGGGCAGAATTAGAATGATGACAAGAATTTAAATTTGTGACTTGCAATTTTCTGAGAACATTTAGGGAACTCCTGTTTACAAATACAGAATATATTGTCATAAATATCTCGGGGCTATGTCAGAAGAATGCTCTACCCTGCCCAAAGTGAAGAATAAAATCAAAGAGAATGCATTATAAGTGTATAATATATACACTTATTATAATAAGTGTATGTGTTATAATATATACAGTGCACAGCATAAATGAGTACACCCCCTCTGAAACGTAACAAATTCAGCCATTACTCTTTGCTTAGAAGACATGTTATGGTTTTTTAGAGATATAATATTCCAGCAAGTCTGCTTGATCAGTTACCAAAGAAGAATGTTAAAATTATTCAAGAAAATACCATTGTCTTATCAAAGTGATAAAATGTTGTGTTGCAAAAAGGAGTACACCCTCCTAAAAGTTACTAAATAAAAAATAAAAAAAAATATAAAAAAAAATTCTGGTGTAAGGTTAAGGCAAGTATTGATCATCAGGTAAGTATGTTGAACCAAAACTGTTAAAGGTAATTTCTTGATAATTAAGTGTCATATGGCCCACTGAATCATACTCAGACTTAACGCTGACAACAATGAAACCACTTGAGAGAGAACTGTCAGATTTATTTCTTAGCATAATAGAGGACAATGGTACAATAGGAATACCAAATTATTGTTTTAAGTGTGAAAATATAGCCAAATTAACACAGAAATTCAAAAACAATGGACTTGTGAAAAGGCCCCTGAAATAATCAGGTCTTCACTTTAAGCTTTCATTTAGTGATGAGTGAGTTTTTGCTAGAAAAAGAGCAGGAGAAACACTGTGAAAGTGTCTCAGAGCCAGCAAAAGCTGTAAAAAGAGTGACACTTTATCTCACAGAGTAAGATGTGGCATGCAGAAGTGACATGCATGGTTGTTTATCCACACCAGAATTACCGACTGTACCCAAAGCACAATAAACTCATTTAGCTTTTTCCAAGGCCCATATTTACAAAATATAGACTTCTGGGAATCCATGCTATGGTCTCATGAGACCAGTTCAATCATTTCGGATCTAACAGCATCCAAAATGTTCTGGTGTTGCTAGAGGAAGGAGTACAGCGAGAAGTGCCTGGTTCCCACAGTGACGTTCAGTGGTAGTAAAGCTCTTCTATAGGGATGTATGAGTGCTGAAGGTGTGAGGGAGTTGCACTTTATCAACGCTGTCATGAATTCACACACCACTGTGTGCTGTAATACAAAAACCTGAAACTGAAGATGCTACCCTTTTCTCATTCCCTGCATTGTTGGGCTTTTTTTAACATGACAATGACGATATTCATTCTCCTGAGTTGAAAATCCTTCAGTGGACATGTATTTCACTCAATCTTAACACTCTTGAGCTGCTGTGAGAGATTCTGTAGAGACGAGCTGAGCAACACTCCCCATTAAAGACCAGGGCATTTCAGGAGGTCGTCCTCCAGGAGTTAAACAGGACAGATGTGAAAATTTGTCATGAACTTGTACACTCAGTGCCAAGAAGTGTCAGAGCAGTGTACTTAGAGATATGGAGGACATATTAAGTTTTAGAATATTACACTTGGTTGAATTAAATCTAGGTTGTACTCAATTCTGCAATCCTTCATTTAAACAAAAATTGGCGAAATTTCTAATTTTACAGATATTAATGGCATGTATTTCTCTGTTTTTATTAAGAATATGTTTAATACATTTCAATTTTGCCATCTTTCTATGAATTATATTAGTGATCATTAAGAAAATACATCTTTTATATTTAATCAGAGGGGGTGTACTCATTAATGCTGTGCACTGTACATTATAATATACGGTTGCTGCATACTAAAATATTAATGACGGACATTTTTATTAGAACATTATTTTATTAAGCAGCGTATTGCCATTCTCATAGGCCTACATTCTTACTATGAGATGTAATTTATAGGATGGGACATGCCTTTATTTTTCCAGGTTTGTCCCCACTATCGCAGGGATGCTGGAGCCCCAGCATCTCGGGCCCAAGTTCCCTAATCAGTGAACTTAAAATGAAAACAAACATGCCCCCACTCATTAAAAGTTTAATTGAAATGTTATCACATTAGGCAATTTCACTGACTGGCATCCTTCTGCTAGAATATATCTCTTTAATATTACAGAAGGTTGCTATGCAGCAAAAATAACGATCAGCTATTGGCTCAGACTAATCAGAAGCCAGGGCCACAACTAGCTGTTTTATAATGGTACATAAACTTTGTAAATAGCAATTTACATTTCAAACCATACAGTATCAAAATATGAGATTAAATTAATATTTTCTAGTACAGCTGACAGTGCATTAATATTTATATGTATATTTCTCTTCTTTTAGTGATTGTCTGGGCATATTTTGCACTTCCAGTACTTCCTCTCTGATCCTATTGGTGGTTTGCTTCCGTTTGCTGGTAAATGAATCCTGAGATTTTTCCAGCTCTATGTCTGACTACATGAATTCAATTTAAAAGCAACTGCATCTGTCTTCAGCCTTCTGATATATCATACTGTTAAACCTATATTTTAATCGAATGAGATGCTTACACAGAATACATGGTTATCTGTAATGAAGCAAAACGTTAATTTTAGTCTACTGATTTCCATGATAAACTATATTGTTACATATGGTTCACACATTTTCTGAATAGGTTAAGTTAAATATATGAAATATTGCAATCATTGCATAAACATTATTGGTTGTAAGTTACTATACAAAATTTTAAATGTGGCTTTGCACCCACAAGAACTATGTGAATGTCTTGCATGAATCACAAACCAATTTTGCAAATAATAACTTAACTTAAAATGCTGAAAGATCTAAGGATTTAAATTGTAGCAATCTGTGTGTAGCTTAATGAGAGAAACCATACATTTACATACAGATACTAAACCATAGTTTTTTGTTTTTTTTGTTAATGGATAATCATTTATCATGTCATTTAACCATTTGTTGATTTTTATTTTCATTATCTGTGCTCTTGTAATGCTTGCTATTGCAGATTAATCTTATGATTATGTGGTTTCAAGTGATATTTGTCTTTGTGAGAGACAACGTAAAGTCTCCATTTCAAGGTTTTTAACATCACGATGGTGCTGTGAAGCGGTAATTTTCCATTGCATTAATTCAACGTATTGAATTTGTTGTGGTCAGATGAAGTCCAGCTGAGCACTGAAACAGACAGAACTAAGATTATTCAATAAAACCTGCTCATTCAGATCACTTCATCTCCCTGCTTTCTCTCACTCCTTCCTCTGTCAACCTCTTGGCTGCTATAAAACAATAAATAATAATTAACAAATGATTAACTGGATACAATGCAGTTCTAACTGGTTTGGGGTGTTAACTGGTTTTGGATACCAAACAAAACATGTCTTCTGACTAAATGTGATAAAGAGACCAGATCCATATGCTTGACTTTCCCAAGTGTTAAATGGATCTAACAATGCATGCAAATTTTACACCGATCAAAGCACCTGCAAACTTTTGAAACAGTCCACTGTCTGTTTATCATGAAAAGTAGCCTATGTGCCCTGGTTTGGCCTGCAAACCACCTGCAAGATTTTAGTGGCATCTAGTGGTGTATGGTGGAGCTGACAAGTGTTTGCAGGTGAACAAAAGGACAAACATTTATGATACACAAAAAAATTGTTTTGAATTTGCAAGTGTTTTACTTGGTTTTACTCTGGTACAGAATAATCTAGCATTAAACAGTCAATAAAGGCATAAAATACCTACATTACAAACAACAGCATGAAAAATCAGCAGATGGCAGTAGAGCGCTGATTCTGTTACAAACTACTCCAAAAAAATCATGAAGACCTTGAAAAACAGGAAGGTTAACTGAATAAGAACAAGTAATGGCTAAAATTCCAGGTGGTCACTTTTTATAGAATAAAGCACAGAAAATAATTTTCATAGAGAGCATTTTTAGCCATCTTACCTTGTTGTGGGAAAAAAATAAATAAATAAAAAAATGTATATATATATATCAATACAAAAAATTATGATTTCTGAAGATCATGAGACACTGAAGACTGCAGTTATGATGCTGCGCATCACAGGAATAACTTAGATTTTAATGTATATTAATAAAAGTTATTTTACATCCTAATAATATTTCACAATATTACATTTTTTCCTGTATTTTTAATCAAATAAATGCAGCCTTGATGAGCAGAAGAGACGTCTTTAAAAACATTACAACTCTCACTGATCCCAAACTTCTGCACAGCAGTGTGTATGTATATATATATATATAATTTTTTGTATTGACCAGTTTTTAATCTTGGCTCCCAGCCTGTTCAGATGGAATATCTAGTAGACCAGCTGACAAGTTAACAAAACACCTTTAAAACCAGCAAACCAGACCAGCATGATCAGACTGGGAGAGCAGCTAAAACCAACTTCAAGCAATGCATTACATTAAAGCTTACCCAGACACAAAGGTCAGCATTTTGGTACATATCAGGCACAGATACTAGTCTATACAACACAGACTGATTTAAGTGAAATGTGCTGTTTGTGTTCTGTTGAATGCTCTTTAACTGCATATAATTACATATTTCACATGTCCGCAAATGTTCAACAGTATCCCTGAGGATCATTTATGGGTTGCCATACACAAACCTATATGTGGGATCTCAGGTCGGCTGAGAAATCCCCCAGCTAGGTATGGAGGAAGTGGGAATCTCCCTTCTCAACTTAAGTAGCCTCTCACTGCGCTGACCATCAGTTTCTATGATGTTCTGTTCCTCAAGTGATTGGCGGATGAGAGACTTGAGCAAGGGCAGACCAAGGCCAGTTGTGGCAGAGACTGGGACGACGTGCGTGAAACGCATTAGGCTTTTAGGGATGACATCCTCAGGAAAGAGATGGCTTGATTCTAGGAAAGCACAGCATCACTTAAAAGAGTTATCAACTGAGGAACACTACATGTACACAGCCATTAAGCTCAATGCAATAAAACAATCACATTAGGCCTGTACTTTAGGCAAATTTACTTGTGGCAGAAACTCGAGACTGCCATAATAGTCAATAAATCACTGACCTCCCCACCAGGGAAAATTACAGTGCATATATTTGTGTAAAACATGGCCGATTTAGCAGATTTAATAAACCGCTCTCTGACTGCTTTTTAGACACAATGGGTATGTTGAACTGATATCAATCTGCACATGTGATGGACATTGGTTATGACCATCTATGGTATCTTCTTTGAAAGCATCTTGAGTAAAACGAGTACATACAAAAGATCTGAACCGGAAGCAATGTGACCCATTTTAGAGAATATGGAAGTTTGTTGCACATAACTGCTATTGTATGAAACAATAATGCAACCACTCGATTGATAAAACCATCTGCTGCTGTGATATGAAATTTCTGTAATGCACCCACTGTATACCTAAAATAACACAAAACAAAGTCTAAAGGCAATTTGTGACTAATATGCTTGAATGGCCTATTTAATAAATAGCCCCTAAATTGCCCATTTGCTTCTAATAAAACCTACCTTCCTGGTTCTCTAAGTGAGTTTCCAGGTCTCGGAGACGGCCCTGAGCCTCGGGGAGGTCCATCTTATTTATGACCAGGATCGCTGGCTTCCCTAACAGTTCCTCATTATACAACTCCAGCTCCTGATTAACAGAGAAAATCAAGAGCACTTTATATAGCACAATCATATATGCAGAAGCATTTCATTCAGAAAAGCAGTTTATTTTCATTTTATTTATTTTTTTACATAGAGCTCACATGTCAAATATCCAGAACTTGCACAATTGATGGCTGACTAAATACTTTTTTTCCCCACTGTATATGTGTGTGTGTGTGTGTGTGTGTTCAAAACACATTACCGTTCAAAAGTTTGGGGTCAGAAATTTTTAAAATGTTTTTGAATGAAGTCTCTTTTATGCTAACTAACGCTGCATTTATTTGATCAAAAACATTTGTACAATTTACAATTAAAAATAACTGTTTTCTATTTAAATATTTTTTTATGTAGTTTCTTCCTGCGACGGTGAAGCTGAAATTTCAGCAGCCATTACTCCAGTCTTTATTGTCCCATGATCCTTCAGAAATTACAATTCTTCAGAAATCATTCTAACATGCTGATTTGGTGCTGTGCTCAAGAAACATTTCTTAATATTTGATCTTTTGATCAATTAATGCATCCTTGCAGAATCAGTAGTGTATATTATTACCTTGTTTAAAAGCAGCACGGTTTCAAATGCAGACCTAAACGGGGTGTTACTAGCTAGCTGAAACCCACAGATGTCGACCTGAAACATCAGAACATGACATTACTATTCAACTCTCACAGTCACTAACATTCAAGTTCACGTAACAGACAAAACTCAGTACCACAAACATGAGCTGCTTGGTTCTCTCCACATGCTTGAGAAACTTGTGTCCCATGCCTTTATTTATGTGAGCACCTTCAATGAGTCCTGGTAAGTCTGCTACTGAAACCTCCAGAGAAAAACAAACTTCTGTAACTCACTCTGGCATCAGTCTGAAAAAGTGTGTATTATGTAATATAAAATTATATTTGCTGAAGGTCTGTTCAATAAAAATTTCTATTTTATGTATATACATATTGTATATTGCATATAACTGTATTGTAATTTTTGGTTTAATTATCAGACTATTTTATGGGAGAAGGTCAAAACCAAGCTTGTTAAGCAGCATACAGTATAAGTCCTATTATTTTATTTTATTATTTATGCTATTATAGAGCCTGTAATCCTACCTGCTTGTGATCATCATACATAACCTTTCCAATTTCAGGTCTTAAAGTTGTAACTGCGGAAGTAAAATAAAAGAAAATAACAAGGGATTATTGTAAAAGTGGCAATAAAGTGGCAGTTTTATACACACACGTATACATATACTGATATATATATATACATACGTGTGTGTTTGTGTATTGAACTACGTTGGTTTAACTAATTTGTAAATGATTATCAGTTCTCACAGGGGTAGCTGGCAATTCTTGGTTTAGCATGCGACAAGGCAGTCAGCAAGGAGGATTTGCCTGCATTGGGAAACCTGTCAAAAAAATAAATCATTTTTGATGTGTGTGAAATACACATTAATGGAAAGAGAAAACAATAAAACAAGAAGGGTCACAATTATGACACTTTACACAGCTTTACTTTTGCAAAACATAACATAACAATAATAATAAAAGTTTTTATGTACCAAATATAGTTTATTCATTATGTAGTTTTGTTTTATGCATTATTTTGGTCATTATTCCTAGATCATTTTTAGCTCTTCATGTGCTTTACCTTGTAATTTATACCCTTTTTTTGTTTGAGAGCAATACTTTTCCAGTCCACATTCTGTGTAGACACTCACCCTACAAGTCCCAGATCTGCAATGAGTTTAAGGTCCAGCCGTATCTGTCTGGTTTGACCTTTACTGGGTAAGAACCCAGAGTGAAGAGAGCCACCATGACCCCCTTTGGCCACCAAAAGATTGTCTCCTTCACAGTTTAACTCTCCTAATGAGAAAAGAAAAATTTAAATTACCATTAGATAAGACGTACAGAATACAATATGAAAGGGAACAAACAACACAAAATGGCATTTGATATATGTGCAATCAAAGTGCAAAGTATGTCTAATAAGCATGTCAAATAAAAACATGAAGTGATGTGAGAGGAAAACCTAAATGATCTAGATGTTATAGAGGGGTGTAAATGGAATTACCCAAGATTCTCCCATCGTCTGTTGTAACACTGATCCCAACAGGTGCAAAGACCTGACTGTCCTCTCCTTTAGCCCCTCTCAGAGCATGAATACTGACAAAAGCACCACACAATACTTTACTTACGGTCTCTACAAAATCAGCACAAAACAACCAAGATTCAATATTTCACAAAACAATTAAACATTGTGTGCATTTCTGAAAAAAAAACAGGACACATGGCCACTTACTAAGTCACATAATGTGTTGTATAGCAGAACAATTATTTGTGAAATGTGTTCATCTAGTTCACCAAAAAGTGAATCTGTCATCATTTACAAAAATGTACATTACTTCTTATGCACCTTTCTGGTTTAAAAAGTCATTCAACAGCTTTATGTGAGAAGCAGTCCAAAAATAAGTGTTTCACTTTCCTCACACAAAATTATCATACACACTTCTGTACATTTAACCCTGACATGATACACATGCAAATCAAAGAAGTTGTGGACAGGATCTTCTACTTCTCCCATGTTCAGCATGCAAGCAATGTAATTCTTCCATGTTCCATCTTATCATAATTTGAACAGAAAGTCAAGATGTTCAATGAATAGCATATTACATTGCAATCTGCTTCTCATAAAAACCACTTGTATTATTTTTAAAGACTTGGAAAACAGTACATGGGTCTTATGGACTACATTCTGGAACTTGACATTTGGGGTTGCTGTACTATTATGTTATATAGAAAAAAAGAAGCTTGGACATGCTAAATATCGCTTGACAATTCGATAGGTTATTTATGGCAACTACCGGTATTTAAAAGATTTGGGAATGCATCATATCATCTGCATGAAGCAACTAAGCTTTCACAATATCAGAAGAATGCAGAGCTTCTCACATCAGATTCACCAGACAAAAGAATGACACCTAGAACACATCTGTTTCAGAGATCTCACTCTGACACAAACAATCAATAGGAGAGATTACACAATCTGTTACAGCAAAAAATATAATAGGCTCCTGTGACATGTTTCAAAGTAATCTAAATACATAAATAACAATATCAATTTATTATCAAATATCAAAAATAAATATCAGTTTTAATGATCTTATGGATTAAAAACACAATAATACATTGAAAATAAAAAAATTAAATACTATTATGTTTTGTCATAGGAAATTCCTATTATTGTCTTCCAGAGGTATTACTGACAATTGCCATTTCACTCACACATTATTCTCTTTATTAGGAAAAAAAGGACTTACCTGCTGTTTGAACCAACACCTGCAGTGAATCGTTTGTTAGGGTGCTTGTCCTTGATTTGCTTCAGTGTAATGTCTTTTTTGGCCACCACCCAAATGTCTCCACCATTTCCCCCAAGTCCCCCTAAACGGGGCAAACCCATTCCTCCACTCCCACCCCTCACATAAAGCCGTATATTATCCACAAAGTTGCCATACTGAAATAAAAGAGACAGATAAAGTTAGCAGGACATTATGTTCGTGAAACTGTTCGTATTCCACTTCTGAAGAACTGTATGAAGACTGTATCCAGATTTTCTGCATACTGCTGTGCCATTGCTCCATTATTTGCATAAGTCTGTGTCTATTATTATGGTATAAATGATTTTCAATTTTCCTGTCCCTGCACATTCACTAATAGCCTCTGGGGAAAGATGACCCCCCCCGTATCTTAGCATGTGAAGGTCGGGCTACTACTAACTAGTTAAATGTCATTCGATAAACAATACCAACCTTCCGGAAACAAACTCTGCTTGTCCAGACCATCACCCCCCCCCCCCCCCCCTCCCCCAAGGAAGGCAAGGAAAGTCCACCATTAAACGATTTAATGAGAAAAAAATTATTCCCAAACCCCCTTGTCAACATGACTCACTTTGTAGCATACTCAATATGATTAATAATGGTTTGCCTGGGCCCTCTGGGGTTAACAAACGTCAGGATTACAGCAGAAACACATCAGGAAATTACCTAGACTACTTATTCACGCCATCCTACAACTGCTGGCCTACAGTGAGATTAGCCTATGGAAAACGCATTTATGATCAACTATTCATTTGTGGTGATGAATTATGGATGATGTTAATTATTTGTCACTGTCTTTGGTCAGCTTGATTTCTACTAATCAGCTAATATGCTTGATAGGTGATAAAAGTGTTTAGAGCGAAGCATCATGGTTGTGACAGTAATTAATTACATAGTCATTTGCTACACGATCTGGTAATGACACACAGAAACTTAGCATGTGAAGGTCGGGCTACTACTAACTAGTTAAATGTCATTCGATAAACAATACCAACCTTCCGGAAACAAACTCTGCTTGTCCAGACCATCCCGAAATAACTCCCCAAGGCAGAGATTGTATTAAAGTGTCACAAAATCTGTTTTGTTTTGTTACAACGTTACTGTCTCTGCATCGTTGAAGTGAAGGACCAAACACGTGTGTGCTTCCGGAAACATGCCAATGTGTGCTGTGATTGGCTGAAAGTGCTGTCCATTACACATGTTTCCGCCTCTCTCCGTCAGCATAAGAATAATGGACCCTTTTCACATTTCCGGGTTTCTCGGCAGCGGAAGTCGTCATAGTTGGGTTAACTTGAATAGCAGCGAAGGGGAGAGTACCACAAATATATGTTTTGCATTCCCATTTGCTCAAATAGCAAAAGAAAAACTCCACGATAGTGTTTTCATGACTTTCAATAAAAGGAATAAAACTGAGAGAGACTGATAACGGCTGTCAGAAGAGAGAACGATGTCAAATGTACTCCCATAGACGCAGCATTAGAAACACCCTCGCATTAGCGTTAACAGTTTTTTTGTAATTTGATGCAAAGGTGATATAATACAAAGAATAGTGTTATAAATGTACATACATTAAAAAAAATACAAATATGAAAAACTTTCGAGGATTTACGATGCTGATGACCGTTGATAATGTGAACTCTGAGGTAGTTTGCTCACCTTTATCTGTGCACATGAGTTCTACTGCTAGGGTTTAGGTATATGACTCTCCTTGTCATAAAGTATTTGTATTTTTGTAAACAATTTACACAAAAGGGGATTTCAAACTTTCTGAATGATAGTTCTATAGCCTACTATCATTACTGAAACACACTTTTTATTTTTTTTACTGAATGATCTGGGCGTCACCTGTATGTAATGCCAAACCTGACAAAATTAGAAATAAATACAGACATAAATAATTATTTATATATATATTTATTTTTACATTTCTTTGTTTATTTGTGTATTTATTTAATTCAATTGTTATTCCATACTATGAAGAAATGCAAACAATGTAGGCCTAATTTAACTGCAAATTATATGAAGTAGCCTATTTTTATTTTGTCGAAATATGCATTGCTAAATATATATTCATATGTTCTCCCCGAGTTTTTCAGATTTCGCCCAATAATACAAATTAGCTACTAAAGATTTTGCATTAAAAATAAAGTAAAATCCATTTATCATAACTAATTTATTAAGTGAGATGATTATTTTTTGTCTAGATGTCAAAAAATAAAATAAATAAATAAATAACAGTAGGCTAATCATGAGCTCTAAGTACTTGTGTTCCTCAGATTGTAATGCAGTTATGTTCTTCGCGTCAGGGGGGTTTAGTGTGAGTGGAACGGGCTGCAATCAACAGCATGACGCTTGAGCCGTGGGCACGCAGTGCTTTAAAAGACTACAAGTCGTAAAACACTCGCACAAAGCCAATTATTCGCCTCAAAGGTATGAACGGAAAAGGATCTACAGGACAGAAAAGACTGATATAACATTGTAAGTAGGCTAAATGATTTTAAGTAGTATTTTACATGTAACCATTTCACTTGCTCTGGTAGGAGACCAACGGCTTTTTATTGATTTACCAAATTATTACTGTTGATTACTTACGTGGCATTTTGTTGCTATATAAATGTAAACGCTGAAGACGGACCTTAGCTGACCTAAATGAATAAGTCTGTGTTACGTCTGAGAGTAATTTAAACATTAAAGCAACGTGAGACTGTCCTAATCTAGTAACGAAGGGCACTAAAAACACGCAAGTGACGGCTGTAACGTCGACACCTGCAGTGAACCAGGAACAAGTAGGCTAATGATAATAATTATATAACTACTTTCATCCTTCTCTAAAGACAAAAAAAAAGTAGTTTTAGAATAAAACCCACCAATACAGAAACATTAACTGAGCAATAGGGATGTTGCATGAAATAAAGTGATGCTTTTTGCAAAGCTGACGGGCGTATCGAGTAACGATCGATTACGTTTCCTCCCGTTTAACGGAAAAGGCGCGTGCGGTTATTTCTCTGATGCCATGTGCGCGCGGCAGACTCCGCGTATCTGGGCTCGCTCTACATGCCTGCCGGTGCGGCACGAGGCGCAGATGATCATGCTGAAAGGAGACCTCGCAGCTTTTCCGTGCTGCTACTCTGGAGTAACGCATATGATTCAGCGACGTGCTACGTCGATTTAATATTGTCCAGCATGATTCATACTTCTTAGATATCCGGCGCTTTCCCAGAAAGCAGTAAGCAGCTGAGCATCTTTAGAAAATCAGTCGTCCACGTATGTCATCCTGTGACTCGGCTTGGAACCTCCCACTAGGGATACGGACTATTTATACCGCGTGCAGCATCCCGAGCCATCTAGAGATACGCGAATCTGAAAAATAAAATAAAATAAAATACAGAGAATCTGAAGATTTCTCGATTGGAGGTAAGGACATCACTATAAAAATGCATTTAATACTATTCAATTCAGTATACATGCGACTGTAGATGCGACCTAAATTGTGCCATATTTATTAAAATCAAACATCTTTTCACATATTATAACGCTCGTTTCTGATATTTCCCTAAAGCTTCTCGTTTTGACTCGCTTTTTAGTGCCGGGCCGCATAAAGTTAGTCACTTTTGTCATTTTATATCTACGTAAAATAAAGTTTTTAACGTTACGTGGAAGGATTGAAACAACGAGCTACAATTTCTGTGGCGTTAACAGCATGCCCCAGGAAGGTGAAGATATGGTGTACGTGTATGAATAGACACAGGCCACAAAGACAAAAACAATCATATTTAACAGACACATTCCGAGATTTATGATGTGGAGATTCAGAGCAGGGAAACATTGTTACATTGTTAGTTAATCTCTGAAATGAGTGCTTTCCGAATACTGTTCAAAAATAAATGAAATTATTTTAAACGGTTTCCTTATCTGCAGTTGTCATTTTAGAGAGCATCTACTATTTTGGGGGCGTACCTTATGCGCAATATGCATACACGCGTGCATACATGTATACATACTGACATACCATCCAGTCTGAGCTTCAAACTCACTGATAACCCTGTCTAGACTACACACACACACACACACAACATCAACAACATCAACAACAACCAACTAGCTGTACAACTCTCTTCACACATTTAATGTACATTCACACAGTCATTTTGTAGAGATACTGTGTCCTGCCATGTCTAATGTTTTGGTTTCCCATCATATGAAAGCAGATAAACGAAGAGTGTTCTTAAAAAAGAAACAGCAGCATACTCAATTCTATTGATTATACTTTTAACAACAAATTAAATCAGCTGGAACATTCAGAATTGTTATTGGCACTGGCTTTGTTAAATAAACAAGGGATAATGCACTGTCATAATAGCAGAAACATACTTTAAAACATCAAAATACAAGCATGGCTACACTGTAAAAAAATGACCGTGAATTTAACGGTAAAAGACTGTAAAAATGCTACAGTAAAAACCTGTTAAATGGTAAATTCTCCTTCTATATACGGTGAAAAACTGTATTGGACATTAATTTTATGGTAGTATACCGCTTTTGGATGTGAAAAAGACCATATAATTTAGAGTGAATAACAGTAAATTGACATTCCCAGAATTCTCTGCATTACATTTCAAATTTGATGTTTTTGTTGTTGAAATAACTATGTTTAATAATGATGTTTTTTCTTGGTTTTTTTATTATCAGTTTTGTATTTTAGGGTTGTGTGTTACACCTAATGTTGTTAAATTAATGTTTATTGCATTATTTCAGTTTCATGTGTGTTACCATGATGGTGTTTGTGTGAATGACACTGTGCACCTTCTACATATGCTATTATTTAAAAGCTGCTTGTGATGGGCTTTGGTTCATCATGTGACTTTCTCATCACCACCTGCATTTGGTGGTTATCAGTGTATTACAAAGGTACAAAACAGATTTCAGTACTTCAATAGGTTGGTATATTAACATTATATCAGTTAATGAAATTACGGTATTTAACTGTAAATTTAAGTTAAAACCGTAAAAACCTAAAACGTTGCTAGCGTATTTTTTACGGTAAAATTACGGCAACTACAGCTGCCGTTTTTTTGACTGTAAATGTTACGGAATTTTTTTTACAGTCTGTATGAAATCTGGATCAGCAGTCAATTTTACTGTTTTACCCTAGATAGCAGTCATTACTCTATCTAGGGTATTTGATAATATATTTGGCCACTGAATTCTGATTGACCAGTCAGAAACATGTATTCTAGATGTTATGAGGATCTAGTCTTTTTTGAAAACAGAGAAATGAGTGTGAAAAACAAGGGGCTAGTCAGCCCATATGAGTACCCCTTGTAAATGTGGTCTGGAGACTGTTAATAAATGGGGCAGTGGGGTGGAAATGCCAGTTCCAAACCCTGCTAATGCTCCCCTCCACCCCTTACACACCCGTCATGCCATCCTCACCCCCGGTTATGCCTGGAATCCTGCGCACTCTCTCTGAAAAGTGTAAACAACCAGGGTCAAATAAAAACCGGTTGTGACGGGTGGCTGCGATGTGCCGACTGTCGGCATGCCAAGCCCACTTTTTTGAAAAACATAAACAGGGGCAGCATGGATTACAGGCCAAACTGAAGTGTAATCGGGGGATTTACACTCGTCAGGTCGAGACAATGAGTGTGCTCAGATAACAGTGCCTCACTCCATAAAACTGATAATGATTTGCTTTTGTCAGGAAGCAGTGGCAGCGCTAATGCTAGCATTAGCTCAGCAGGGAAGAGTGTCTGAGCAAGGCCATCGTTGTGTACATAGTTGGTGACTTTTTTGTTATTAAAACCTTTTGCACATGAGATATGACAAGAGGGGAGAAATGACTGTTAGTTTGGTACTATGGTTAAAAAACTTTAATGTAAAAAAAAATACAAACACTCTAAAACTCTAAAATTGCATCAGCCATCACCCTAAAGCTTCAAACAGAAGATAATAGACTTGGAATAGAATTTACAGGGTATTGCAAGTTATGTTACCATTTGTTGTGCATTAATCAATTTTAGATATTCAGTGCAAGTAATAATATGCAAACATCATAACACCATATGGTAATATTTTAAATGGAAACGTTTTATACGAAAACAGTTTTAGCAAATGTCCACATATGTAGAATTAATGTAATATGCTAATATTTGCAGCTAGCATTAATTTTATTTTGATTAACAGATGTCTTTTGTGTTTATCAGTGCCAGCTCTAATTCTGGCTGCCACTATGCCTCTGCTGGAAGAAAGTTCTCTGCCGAGGGACTGTACTCGAACTGTGCCAGTAGTCATCATTGGTGAGTCATCAAGGAGCAAATGTTATCAGATTCATTACTGATGGAAAAAAGGGCATTCGCAGCTTTAACCAATCCTGATGGCTCTTAATTAGTAGATTCCAATATAACATTCCACAGTTACTTGTCTCTCATTTCTCCTCTCAGGTAATGGTCCTTCCGGTATATGCTTGTCGTACCTTCTGAGTGGATATACTCCTTATTTAGATCCAATGGCTGTGCACCCAAACCCTATCCTGTTTCGTAAACTACAGGAAGCCAAGCAGCTTCCCATCACTGAACAGGTAAAAAGATTGAAACAGGTTGCGAAGTTTAACTTGGAACTAAATTGTGGAGTAAAACTAAATTGTGAACAATCAGAAATGATAGTCAAATGTGCAATAAACCAGTTGACCAGTGTGTCTTTCTGTAGGATTTGGAGTTTCTTTGTGAAGGTTTAGAGGGGCGTTCAGGGAACCCTGTGGCGGTGCTCTTCGATACACTCCTTCATCCAAATGCAGATTTGGGCTTTGAGTTCCCCTCTGTACTGCAGTGGAGGCTGGAAAAGAAACATCATATTCCTCATCTGGTCTTGGGCAAAGCTACTCCTGGTGGTGCCTGGCACGTGAGTGACCTCTCTGAGATAGTTGGGTTAATACTTCTCACAACTGTACAAGCTTAAAAAAGCTCATTCATTAATAATAGTTTCTATAACTGCCAGGTTAGCTTTGAGAAGTTTCTATGGTATTGCTATGACTTTCTTACTATAGCAGGTTAGGGTATTGGTAGAAGAGATACACTAGTTATACATAACAATTTACATAATGTGAAAAAACCTGCCTCTGAATTTACAACCCTAACAACCATTTTTGACTAAATGTCCTTCATTGACAAAATATACTCTTTCTGGTCTCCAAGGCAATGGAAGGTTCAATGCTGACCATTAGTCTTGGTATATGGATGGAGTTACCAGGAGTCAACTACAGAGATTTGACCCCGGGCAAAAGGAGGTATGTACTATGGAGGATAACTGATGGTAGCTTCCATTAGTACTGGGGTGTCATGTCCTGCTTCTGGAGAGCCTCCATCCTGCAAAGTTTAGTTCCAAACCTAATTAAACACACCTGAACCAGCTTGTCAAGGGCTGCGTCCGAAAGCTGAAAAATGCTGTCTTCAGAGGATGCAATCCAAGGTAGGAAGGCATCAAGGCACGTCTGAATCCAATGTCAGCTTTACTTCCTGTCTTGAGATGCCTTCATCTTATCTATTTTTGAAGGCAGCATAGATGTATCCTTCACTGCCTTTGATATCCCACAATCCTGTGCATTCCATTCTCTGACAGTTGAGCTAAAAAATAAAGATGGCACCTGAAATTTGCAGTTGGTGATCAGTTTGTGTGTAAATATGTTTCTGACCAAGTTTTTCCACTTTTGATGTTACTTCTAGTGAGAAATTAGTATTATAGTAATTAAATATTCACTTTGTTTTCACCAAATCTTGCTCTATTTTGTTGTAGATCATTACACTTCCTTAGAAGCCTGTTCGAAATCAGTTTCATGAGGTGCCTTCATGCGCAAATGCTGCCTGCAAAGTCATTGCCCAATGAGGCGACAAGTCAGCAGCCTAAGCTTTCGGACGCAGACAAGGTCTTCAGGATTACTAGAAACATTCAGACAAGTGTGTCAGAACAGGTTGGAACTACTCTGCGGGAAGTTGGGCCTCCACGAGCAGGATTGGACACCTCCGCATTAGTGTTTATCAAAGATAATCAAGAAGATATTATGGGTTCCTCTCCAGCAGAACTATGATCCAATTTTTCAGACTTTACAGAAAGATCTGAGATTGATGGATTATGTATATTATGGGCTTTTCTCACAGGTCGGTGTCCAATGATCGAGCCACTCCAGATGAGATCTCTTCCTACTACAAAAATTATGTCAAGCTCATGGGTCTCCAGAAGAACTTTGTGGACAATACCTATGTCACCTCTGTTCAAAAACTTCACCGCAGTCATGAAAAAAGTACTGGGGATGAAAAGAACACTGTAAATGGTCAGCTGAATGGTGTGAAAAATGGGTTAGATTATTGCAATAAGAACAGAACTGAGAACAGTCAGAATGGACTGGTAAATGGGTTTAGCAATGAGTTACAAAATGAAATGGAGAAAAGCAGTAGAAGTGGTGATACTGGGGAGGAGGATGAAGATAATAGAGGCAAAGAAGGAGTGAGAGAGAGTATTGGGTTTTCCCAAGGAAATTCACAGGGACTCTGGGAGGTCAGGGGCTACCAGCAGCTCCAAGGTGACACTCATGTCCCTTTCAGCTTATTTGCAGAGAATGTTGTCTTAGCAACAGGGGCAGCGGATTCTCCAGCTCGATTGGGAGTAGAGGGGGAGGATCTCCCTTATGTGTTCCACAGCGTACGTGACCTTGGGGTGGCTGTCAGCTGTCACAGCAACCTGAGCTCTTCCCCTGACCCTGTTCTGGTAGTGGGGGCGGGGCTTAGCGCAGCCGATGCAGTGCTGTGTGCCTTGAACCATAGGGTCTCTGTGTTGCATGCATTCCGTAAGCGTGCTGATGACCCAGGTCTCATCTTCAAACAGTTGCCAAAGACACTTTACCCTGAATATCACAGGGTCTACCACATGATGTGTTCCCAAGTTTACCCAGCATCCCCTGTTGCCAATCCCACAGCTCCTAGTCCATCTTTGTTCCCTGACTACACCAGCTTCCCTGAGCACTGTGTGCTCTCCTTCCAGCCTGACATGCACTGCGTGATGAGGGGATCCAATGGTGTCCTTAGAGTCTTCAAAGTCTCTATGGTGCTAGTTCTTATCGGGACCTATCCCAACTTGTTTTTCTTGAAGGAGCAAGGGCAATACCTTGGCTTGGATCCCAGCAAGCCAATCTCCTGCAGACAGAATCCTGTCGACATAAACCCTTACACCTTTGAGTGTAATGCTGACCCTGGGCTCTTTGCCATGGGACCCCTTGTTGGTGACAACTTTGTACGTTTCTTAAAGGGTGGCGCTCTTGGCATTGCTAGCTGTTTGCGCAAGAGACTGAAACATAGGATTGAGAAGAACAGGAAATTGATCGCCAAGGAAGGAGGGTGTGGAGGACGGGGAAGAGAAGGAAGTGGGGGCGGAGGAGGAGGATTTGTCTAAGGCTCCAAGAGAAAGTGCTTCATGATGAGTCCTGGAATACATAAAATTTTTATATGTATGCAGTGAATACTAATAAAACTACAACTTTTCTACAACTTATCTACAACAAGAAAGTACACTTATAAAAATGAGCAGAAGCTAGGAGAAACTACTCTCTTCCCAATGGTGTCTTATGTTGTCTGTCTTACAAAAGGAGTTTTTGCTGGTCAGGAATAATGTGCCAATAAGTCAATGTCATTCGTAGTCTAGATGGAGTGTGCTTTACCTCTTGTTGTTACAAATGTTGTCAGTTGCCTTGTTATTTGTAATTAGTTACCTGCTCTTACATTACATCATAGATAGCATATCTCTGTCATGATTGCAGTGCCTGAAGGGGTGTTCACACTGACAGTGTTTTGTAGCGACAAAGCAACCAAACATCATTAAGAGGTGGTCACGAGCAACAGACTTGCTGTTGAAAAGTGACAAAGATTAGCAGAGCTAAAAGATGGTGCTACTATCAATGGAAGCACAGCGATTTGTCGTTTGAGTTGGATACAGAGGAAGAATAGGTATGCCTATTAAACACCAACAGCTCAGAAACTAAACTTCAGTGATTTAATATCTGTCAGTGTGAACACAGAGGCTTGCACTTAGTAAAAGAAAGCAATACCGAAATAGCAGATGACTTAGGCAGAAGGCCTAGTTCAGGGGTGGCGAACGTCTGTCCTGGAGAGCCGCAGCCCTGCAGAGTTTTGCTTCAACCATAATCAAACACCTGAACAAGCTAATCAAGGCCTGAAGGGTTATTAGGAAGCTACAGGCAGGTGAGTTTTAATTAGGGTTGGAGCTGTACTCTGCAGGGCTGCGGCTCTCCAGGACCGGAGTTCGCCAACCGCTGGCCTAGTTCATAAAGATTATGTTGCAGTCTTCACTAATGTTTCTGCTGTGAAATGCCATTTAATGCACAATTAATGTATATTAATATGCACAAAATGTTCAAAACCTTGATGAGCTTATAATGAGCCAATGTATTTCTTTCTAAAAAACAATGATGCACAAGCATGGCCTTATCCCAAATAGTTTATTACATTGTCCATTTGGATATATTTTCAAATACATAACACATAATAGCACTTTAAAAAAAGAAACATCCCTTTTGTCCAGTCATTCTATGGTACTCAAGCCTTCATAACAGGCTCCTAAAATAATCTGAATTACTGAAAAAATAAGAAAACTATGAGGTCACATTGTAAGACCTGGACTGTATGTATTTTTTTCCATCTGACAAGATCTAAATCAACCTTACTCTTTCACTGCAACATAAAACAAGTGCCAAACGTTAGAAAGACAGTACATTTTCAGTAACCATGGTTGTCAGTCATTGGTAATTTGTAGGTAAAATAGATAAATAAGAACATTATGGATTACAGAAAATTTAGATTAATTCAATGTGCTGTTTTAGAGATTTGCGATTTAGAGTAATCCAATGTGCTATATTTTAGAGATTTGAGGTTTGGACTCCTCAGTAAGGTATTTTGCAGCACTCAATAGTGGAACATTTGACTTCATACTCTGTTGTGCCAAATAAATGTTTTATTGCTTTGAATTATTAACTGAAATAACTTTTGAACTAGCATTTTTAAGTTTTCACCTCAGCCATTCATACTGCAAGTTTAGACTGCTGAGAGAATCTTTGTGTGGAGTGACAGTTTAGATAGTAGATATCATCAATAGACTTGAAGGAACCAAAACCATAAGATGACAAATCAGAGCGGTAAGAAAGTCCTCTTAATTCAATGCAGGATGGTCAAAGCTGCTTCACAAGGTGATGTATTGTTGGCGTGGAGGTGAAATACGACTGCTCAGTTTTGTAAAATGTCCATTTTTAATATATACATACACGTTTTGTACAGAGTATTTTTTATTATAGACAAATAAATCTCTTTTAAAAATGGAAACATGTTTTGCTTTGCATCTGGTCACAGATAACAGCAGCATTATGAACTATTATTTCTTTGCCCTCCTAGGGTTGTACCTGAAAGAAAAAGAAAAAAACAGATTCAACACAAAAGCAAGTAATTTATAAAGTCCAACCATCATTCACACAAAGGCTTTTAACATTCCTGCCCTACGGTGACAATTAGTAACTAGTAAATTTAGTGATTGAATAACTGAGTGAATTGATACAAACTGGTACGCTGTAAAAATCAAACACTGTTTGAAAAAGTCATCAAACCAGACATCCCCTTCCATAAAAGATGTCTGGGACACTTCATTAGCCTGGGGGAGGGAGGGAGCTGGAGAAGATGTTGGAAAAACAGAGATGCCGTTTTCTTTTCTTTCTTTTTATTTTCTGTGTGACGTTCCCACTTCATGCATGACTGGCTGAGCAGATTCAGAGATCAAACAGTTGTGATGGACAAATCGCATGGCCGTGGCTGTGTGTATATTTGAGGGCGCGAGTGTGTGTTCTTCTGCTTAGGCAGGAGAAATGGCACCACTTGAAAGTCCCCCGTTAGCCAGGTTCAGTCTCCAGGCAACAATTTTGTGCCTGACGAGGCCTAAACCTTATTTCTCTGTAAGTGTAAATTCTTGTTCTAACGAGCCACGAAAAATTACTTAAAATGCTGCATTATGCATGCCAGGCCAGTAGTTGGCGATGTAAAGAAATATGGTATCGTTTATAAAAACTTGCACTTTGCATTTTCAGGCCCCCAACACACAGTTGTTGCGTAAAAGAACAGCCAAAACACATGAAAATGTGTACATACCCCCCAAAACACAAGCGTTTTAACGATTGGGTTGTATGGGAATAACTACAGCAATATCCAGAAAGCAAACTTACAAACACTATTGTCGAAATATATGCCAGTCCATTCAAAAAGTTCAACACCCACTTTTCTAATAGAGATAGAATAACTTTGATATGAGTAAAGCTACTAAAGAAGTGCTCTTACGGGGCACTGACCACTAATTTAAACCATCACTGTATTTTCTGTCCTAATCACTGTGTTTAAACAGCAGGAGCTTGTTAGAAATATCAACGGGTCTTCGCAGCCCAGCGTGACCTGAACTGTGAACAATGACTTAAAAGCAGTTGGGAAATCATTGACGTCACACTTTCCAAGCGTGCTCTGCGAAAATGAAGGATCTGCTAAAAGGAGAAACCCCTCCCTTTAAGAACTCATGCGTGATGCCGTGACAATGGTGGATCAGGCCCAGCAGCTCAAATCACAAATCACAGAACTGATGAGTTCATGACTTTAAGAAAGAAACATGCTGAGGCTGTGTGGAGCTTTTCAAAGTCAGAGGACTGGCATGTCAAAGCTGTGTAAGTCTATCAGCAAATATCTGAGCACCTGTTTGACAGAAGATTCGAAACGGGGCACAATACTGGGAACCAGACGTCCCTCTGTCCTGCCCGCCTCAGTGCGTAAGAGTATCCCACCGCATAAACCAGCCAGTCCACTGCAGACTAAGCCCTCACAAAAGTTATTGTCTCAATATAAGCCTTGATTTTCTAGGGTCAGAGGTCAGTGTCTTGTTGAATGTAGTGTTAGTTTAGGCAGGTGGCGAGTGTCTGAATGAGGGTGAGAACTGTACAGCGATCAAACAAGATCAGTCAGCGTTCAAATGAGCTCGAAAAGTGCTGACTTCACTGTACGTCCCACTTCATTCTGTCCATTTGATCCATGCCCCTCATTTATCCATTTATGCCCTACTGCATGCAAAAGTACATAGACTGCATACCTGAACAAATCATCTCCCAAAATCTCCTCCCGTTCATTCTGTTTTTCCTCCTAAAAGAGAGAGAATGCCAGAAATGAGTACGCAAATCCTATATTCATAACTGTATTCAACATGCCAGGGGTCGGCAACCACTGACACGTGAGCAATTTCAATGGGATGAATGCATTTCAATTAAATGAAGTCACTCGATCTAACAGTCTACATTTTGAGATAAACCTTCCACATAATCACACGGCCTGTTTTAGGTAAGAGTTAGAAATACCATTAAATATAGGGGGGTGTGCAGGTTAACAGGATTCTGTTTTGCATCCATTGCACTGCACAATTATGTAGATGACAGTTCAGTTGTTCTTCTATTTGTTGCTTTTAGCTTTCAGAAAAAAAGAAGTTACTGCTATCATTGTTGATGTTCATCTCGCTATCTAGGGTCCTTAACATTCCACACAAATCAGTTGTCTTATGAGAAAACTACAACATTAAGGGAAAAGATCACAAATACAGTTGGTTCAGTGAGGAATTCTATTTTTTAGAAACTAATCTCCACATGAAAATAAACACAATATATAATTATTATTACATTTACATTCAATCATTTAACAGATGCTTTTATCCAAAGTGACTTACAAATGAGGACAATAGAAGCAACAATATGTAAGTGCTGTGACAAGTCCCAGTTAGTCTAACTCAGTACATGTAGCAAGATAAAAAGAATAAAAAGTAGATAGAATAGAATAGAAAGAGCTAATGTCTAGTGTCAGAGGGTCACGTTATTATTTTTTATAATAAATAAAAATGAAACAAGCAGATAGAATAGGAAAAAAATTCTCGCTATCTAGGGTCCTTAACATTCCACACAAATCAGTTGTCTTATGAGAAAACTACAACATTAAGGGAAAAGATCACAAATACAGTTGGTTCAGTGAGGAATTCTATTTTTTAGAAACTAATCTCCACATGAAAATAAACACAATATATAATTATTATTACATTTACATTCAATCATTTAACAGATGCTTTTATCCAAAGTGACTTACAAATGAGGACAATAGAAGCAACAATATGTAAGTGCTGTGACAAGTCCCAGTTAGTCTAACTCAGTACATGTAGCAAGGTAAAAAGAATAAAAAGTAGATAGAATAGAATAGAAAGAGCTAATGTCTAGTGTCAGAGGGTCACGTTATTATTTTTTATAATAAATAAAAATGAAACAAGCAGATAGAATAGGAAAAAAATAAGAGAACGCTAGTGTTAAAGGGTTTTTAGTTTTTTTACTACTACTGTACACACTTTGGGGTTGTTACAATTTTTACGTTTTTGAAAGAAGTCTCATGCTCACCAAGCTAAACATTAATACTGTGAAATA